GCGCACCCTTCCCCACCTTCTTCACTGACCTTGGGGTCTGCAGGGCTGTTCTTCTCATGTATTTCTCACTCCTCACTCACAGCTGCTGTAAAAAAAAAAAAACCAAACCAAAAAAACCAAACACACAAAACCCCAAAACAAAACCAAACAAAAAAACCCAAACATTTTTTAATCCTTTCTTAAACATTATCACAGAGGTGCCACTAGTGTTGCTGATGGGTTCAGCTTTGGCCAGTGGTGAGTCTCTTCTGGAGCTGTCTGTAACTGGCTCTGTTTGATGTGGGGGACAGCTCCTGGTGTCTTCTCACAGAAACCATCTCTGCAGCCCCCTGACTACCAAAACCTTGTCATGTAAACCCGACACAGGGGATAATGCTCTAGTAGATACCTTTTAGGAAGGTAGAAAGTGATTCAAACCCTAATTAGGCATGAGGCAAATAGATGGATAATTCTTCCTCTAGACTTGGTTGGTTTGGGGTTTTTTTTGGTGTGGTGTGTAAAGATATTCTTCTTTGTAGGTGAGTACATACATGGACGTGACCTCATTTTTTTCCAATTTTTGATGTTCACAAACAGAAAAGAGCACAAAGGCTTCCTGTGACTTACTTTGCATATGTATTTCATATACACCAGTGTTGTTAAAATGGACTTGGATGTGAAATACAGTGCTGCTATTGGTGCTGTTTTCACAGAATTATAGAATCACTTAGGTTGGAAAAGACCTGAGAGACCATTGTCACCACCTTGTCAACTAGACCGTGGCACATCCAGTCTTTCCTTAAACACCTCCAGGGACTGTGACTCTACCACCTCCCTAGGCATTCCATTCCAATGTCTAATCACCCTTTCTGTAAGAAATTTCTCATGATGTCCAGTCTGAACCTCCCCTGGCACAGCTTGAGGCTGTGTCCTTTCATCCTGTCCCTTGTTACCTGGGAGACTGATGCCCACCTGGCTACAACCTCCTTTCAGGTAGTTATAGAGAGTGCTGAGGTCACCCCTGAGCCTCCTCTTCTCTGGTCTAAACAGACCCAACTCCTCACAGGACTTGTGCTTCAGACCCTTCACCAGCGTAGTTGCCCTTCTCTGGACTTGCTCCAGGACTTTATTATGCATCTTGTAGTGAGGGGCCCAGAACTGGACACAGTAATTGAGGTGTGGCCTCACCAATGAAGAGGACAGGGTTTTTGATGTCAGCTGAAATTCACTTAAGAGGCACTACTGAAACTTTTTAATCTGACCCAAGATATTTTTATAATCTTAATCTCTGTAACTCATCCATCCAAATACGAGAAAATGCAAGAATAGGCAGCAGCATCATCAGTTTGGTTGTTCTTAACTTGCAGCAAAGCATTTAAGGACTTCAAAGAGTAGACCTAAGTGAAAACTTTTATGTAAGCTTGAAACGTGTTGTACTGAAAAAAAAAAGAGGTCTAGTGTTGACTTTCCTCTATTTGTAAGTATGGACAATATCAACTCAATCTAAATGCTGTCAAATAAATACCATGTTGCTTTCCACACTCCAAGGACTCTATTTACTACATAAACTTTGGAAACAGTGGGTTACAGTTCTTTGCTTCATTCTTATGCTTTCTGTAGAAGCGCAAACAGTTGTGTTTGCTATGAGATCTCTAGTTGTAGTCTCAAAACATGGAATATAAAATATAAAAGTATAACAGATAAAGTTCAGTGGCAGCAGCCGCTGCTGGCATGGCATTGTTCACCTTGCATATCACTTCTGTGTCCTCCTGGTCAATTTTTCAGAGCAGAAGGAAATCGTGAGAGTAGTTGAAAACACAGTGGATCTTGCTGAAGAATGAAACTTGGAAGAAAAAGAGTTAGAATGGATAGTTGTGTAGTTTGCTTTTAAACCTGATCATGTGATCTCTTAGCCACATGAATTAGATGCTTGTTGACTTGCTCCCTAGACAGACATTTGAGGTTTGAGTCTTCCGTATCCAAAGGAAAACTGTTATTAAGGAATGCCCCTGTCTAGTTTAGATGCGCTGCCTGGCCATTTTCTCCTAATTAATTTTAACAGATGTTTGATAGAACAGAGCTTCTTGGCAGCTCTCTGATCTTAATAGCTTCTGAGAAAATGCATTGATTGGCCCTTTTGTTTTCAAAAGATTGCTGTAATTTTCAGTCATTATCTGTAAGGAAATCAGTGTAATTTATTAAACCAGCATCATGGATTAAGAATTAAAGACCTGATTCTTCTAACACTTAAACTGGTGTTATGTTGATGTTACCCATGAGGAGCTTTAGTAAGACAAAGAGTAAGTGGAAGATGTTCATCATGAACTTTTAAAAAGCAAATTTCTAGATCTCTTTCATAAGCTCAGAACTGATTCTTTTTGTTGCTTGTACTAGGAATAAACTGTATTTCTTGGAGTTTGGATATGAAGACAGTCCAAAACCTATCATATTTAAAAAAAAACCTTATAAGAACAAGCTTAGGTCTGAGAAACACTTAGCTAACACTCTGTGTACAATGCTTGAGTTGCAAATTCTGTAGGAAAACTAGCTTGCATTTAATCAGAAGAGAAAATTATTCTGTGTAGTCTCCCTACTTTTCAGGAATGAAACATTTAAGCAGTATCTCTGGCTTCTTGTTCCTTTTGCAAGCAAGCTAGGCTAGATGCCTTTCAATAGTATTGCTTAAGTAGATTTAGTTTGCCTTACAAACAGGTCTTAGAAACTTCACAGAATTGAAATTTGATCGCTGTGAAAGCAAGGAATAAATTGCTTTCAGAGATTTCATTGTGACTTCACAAAATTTTAAGACAATAACTTCTATCAGGGTCATCTCATCTTTGTTTATTTTAATTCTGTGAAGTTTTGTTTTAAAGACCCAGCATGAAATAAATTATTCACATAAATGTAACATTTTAATGCAGTTTGACTGCTACTATACTAAAAAGTTTAAAAAAAAAGAATTGGTGGACTGATTGTTGGACAAAATGACTAATAATTTGTTACAAAATCTGTTGTTCGGTTGTTTACTACAGTAGACTTCTGTTGATTATATCAAATAGTGAGCTTTCAGGTCTCCAGTATAAGTAGATAGCGCTTCAGTCCTGTTTTATTTATGGCTGTTGTTTTTATTTTTTATCCAGTGCCTTACTGATCTCTGGGAATTAGGTTAGATTAGAGTGATTTTGTGGGATGAAATTAAGCAGACTGACTAACACAAAAAGACTTTTGACCAGTTTTAGCCAAGGATGGTAGGATAAACCCAGTCATCAGGGTTTTGGACACTGTACAGTCTTTTAAAGCATCCACTTATAAGCAGCTGGTTACTTGCTTCCATTCTGATTGTTTTAAAGAAGTTTTCTGCCTTTTTTTAATTTTTATTTTTTCCTTATTTCATTTTTGTCTCTGTCTTCAGAGTTTGCAATGGAAGGGCTGGAGAATGAAACACAACAATGGATTCTACTAGACATTTCTCATTCTGTTTAGCCTTCAACAGAAAGAAAGCCTTTGGTCAAAATCCCCAGCTAGTAAATTGTCTGCCATCCGAAGAATCCTGTCTTTAATGGAAAGGCTGGCTAAAGCTGGAAGAGCTTTTTGCGAGTATCATGACAATGGTTACTACGAAGAATAGAGGCCTGTTCTGCCGTTCTAAGCTACAGCTGGTGTCAGCTGTGATACTGAATAGTACAGCAAGATAAAGGGAACAAAAGGGCACATTTTGTGTGCTAATAATAGGCTTGGGACTGCCATAAACTCTTTATATAAATTATACAACAGTACCAGTTCTCTTTCTTAAATTTTTCTTCATCTTCCTTGTGGTTGAAAACCTGGCTATATAACTTCCGATGGCTTTGCAGTGATTCTTGTATGTGCTTTTTGCTGTGGTAAGCAGAGTCAGCAAGGGCAGTAAAAAAAATGTTTCAGGACACGGATCTAGACTCAGTGCCTGACAAAATGGGGTCTCATAGACTAAAAGGATAAGCGTAAAGATTTTTTTTCGTCAGTTAATTCCCTGGGATGCTGACAGCTGCTGTCTTATTATTGCATGTGACTGGCACATTCAGAAATACTGTCCCAGGGCTTCCTCCCTTGGAAAGCTCTTATGGCAGTACCTCTTGTTTACCTCTATTCAGAATACTGGGTGGGGGTGTTTACTGAGAGATCATGTCTTCATACTAGTGTTGGCGGTAGTGAGGGTGGGGGAAGTCAGTACACTGTTAGTAGGTCAGAATACTCTGCAGAGGACACTTACTCAATGCTCAATTGCTGAGGTTGGACTGGACCTTTCCAAAATTATAAAAACACTTAAGTAACCTAAGAGTTGGTTTCTTTCTGACAACACTGCTGGGTCACGGGTCATTGCTGTTATTGATGTTTCCTTTCTGGGTTTATGGATTATAACTGACAGAATTGCAGTTTCGAGGAATAATTGAACAAATTGTGTGTATTGTGCATAGCCAAGCTTTTATTCTCTTGCCAAAATCAACTGTTATTTGAATGTGAGACAGAAATAAGACAATAAGGCTAGAATTAAAGGGCTGCTACCTTTAGGTTGCAGAACATGTCTGGCATAGCTTGTAGAGAAAGGCACAAATCCTAACAAAGCTCTAAAGCTTATGTTTTCTTTGGAGCTGCTCTTGAAGATAGTAGATGTCACGGTATATGTCTTATGAAATACGGACAATTTGAATCACAATATAAGTGGATTATTTACTCATATTTTATCAATAAAGACCTGGTGGAGGACTACTGTAGTCCAAATACTGGAGTCATATGCTAATGAGTTTTGCAGAATTAGGATTAAATGTGAAAATTTGTTTCCAAAGCCAAGTGTAAATTGATTCAGAAATATGGAATTCTCTTTCTATACTTACTCTTGCAAATATTGTCATCAGGACTTTTTCTACAATAAATTTTTGTTTTAGTGTATTTAGTGTATTTAAATGTGAAACATAAAGTCTATATTAACTCTATTTATAGAAATAAATGCACTCTGTAACTGCTGATACTATTTGGTTTTGCAGGTTGTCTTCCGAATTTTGTGTCTGAAGGTACCCTCTTGCTTTCTCAGCAAATCATGGACATCGTTGGCTTTCTGAAGTCTCAATTCATTTGCCACCTTCTGATCTGCTACATATTTATAGTGTCAGGACTGATCATTAACTTCATTCAACTCTTTACACTTATACTTTGGCCAATCAACAAGCAACTGTTCAGGAGGATCAACTGCAGGCTGGCTTACTGCATTTCAAGCCGTAAGATTTCATATTTTTTTTTAAAGTATTTCGTGTTTTGTCTAGAGGGAATTGGTAGAAGAGTTCTGTATTTCCACGTAACCTTTTTAAAGGTCATGACTGCTTCCTACAGCACCTGCATTTGTGTGAAGAGTTGTATGCTTTGTTGAAATGTCTTCTTGTGCTGAAATGTTTTGCCCTTTTATACTGGAATACTTGGTGGACTCAGGATATTAAAGAAAGATTGCCTCTCATTTGGCTGTCCATCAAGTTCCATTAAGCCAAATGAAAAATATTGACCAAATAATGCATCTCAGCAAGTTCGGCTGTTGTCTGGGCTTACAGTGTTAACAAGTCACTTCCAATAATGCTTTCAATCTTTTTATTATCCATGATTTTGTTTAGGATCTTGATTTAAGTGTGTCATGTGCAAATACTGTTCAGAACTGGGAAATAACAGTAAAAAAAGGAAAAATCTTCAATTTCATATGCATCTTTCTTAAGCTAGTTATAAACTGTTGTTTCTTTGAAAAGGCATTTCAGACCTTAAGCTGCATCTGTTTGTATTCAGTGTATGCATGTAGTTACAGTGTAGAATACAGCAGGTAGCCTGTAACCATTTCAAAGAAGCAGGGGTTGCAATTATTTTGATTTTCCTGGAGGAGTTGGGAGCATGAGCTCAGGATATTAGTTGTACAAAGACTAGACCTTTGAAACTGTTAAGAGATGTGACAATTCACTGGCACTTGACTGAACAGGTAATTCCAGTGGAATGAATGAGAGCTGTACTCGTTTGTTCTCTTGGTAGGAGTTTGGTAGAATCTCCACCTGACAACAGTGAATTATTGGAGCATGTGTAATTTTCTTGATATAATCAGTCTACGTATATATATTTGCTTTTAAAGAGCTACGACTGCAACTTCAGCACAGTTTTATTGCACTGTTCTTGACTTTCTCATAATTGCTCTAAATTTACAGCAGAGAGAACTCCTCACAGAAACTGTTAAAAAATGCTAATGTACCTGTATTCAGTATCTGGGAGCATGCTTTTGAATGTGTCCGTCTTCTAGAGAGATTTCCCTGGGCCCTTCTGAAACTGAGAAGTGCTTTCTAAAAAGGAAACTATTGCAAAATGCATGCCTTTTGATACTCCCTAAAGATTATTCAAGTGTGATGTCACTGTCAATGCTGAGTGAGTTATGGATGGTTTCATGCTGGGGAAAAGCACCCTCCAACACAGTGTTTAAGAAATGCAGCAAAATGGTTTCTTTCAGGTCACTTCTTCTGCTACTAAGAAGCAGTTAGTATTCATAATAAACTGCTTGAGGTAGAAATGTGTCACATGCCTCAACTTGGGGACCACTAGGGATTATTTCTTTCATCAGTGACTCTAATGAACAACTATTCAAAGCATTTTTTAAGACATACTTTTTACTTAAATTTCAAAGCTGCATTAGTACATATAACCCCAAATGAATTTGGGATGCTGTTTTATTATTTCTGTAATGTAGAAAAATAGTTCCTTCTGAAAAAAGTCATTTTTGCTGTCTGTGTATGTCCCTGAAGTGAGTATGCAAGTACTATGCATTTGTATGTACAGTAACATTGAACATGGCCAAGTTTCTAACTTTTGCCTGGCAGCATAGTATGTGTTTGAAGCCATGGAATATAGAAGATACTTTACAGCTGTATACAAGTGTATATTATTATTTTTTCATGCAATGCCTTCTGGCCCATTCTTCCTTTTGGCTGCTTGGTGCAGAGATACCAGCTACGCTGGAGTCTTCAGGCTGAATCCTTCAGTTTAGCTCAATCTCGTCTCATCTAGGGGATGGACAGTGTGTAAGAGGGAGTAATACTGCATGGCTTGTCCTTGGTGGGGCAGATGGCTTTGTACTCAGAGTTGCTGATCTAGTCTTTAATGCTGGAATAGATTATGTTGTGAATTTTTTGCCCAGTCATGCTCAGAACAAACTATGTCTAGGTTAAAGTAATTTATTTTAGCTTTAAGCAGAGCAAGCTAGCATTTGATACAAGTCAGTTATCACATCTACCTGAGTGAGATTTAAAAGGGAAAATGGTAGTTAATTTTAAAACGAATTTCAAAGAACTAAAGACCAATTAATCAAAACAGGTGTGGTTCTTGTAGTAGTATTTGTGTACAATAATGCCCTTTGGGGGCCATTGATGTGGTGACTGATAAATTAGTCAGGTCTGTATGGGTCTGATGAAAGTCGTGGAAACAGCCTACAGCTGGAGAGAATGAAGCTTAGCATTGGAGAATATAAAGAGGCACATGCTTTGCAGTGGTGACAAGGATCGTGTTGCTTTGAGAGGCTGATACAGCCTGAGTTACCAAGTCAACCAAAGAGTGAAGTAGAGCGGGCATGGTTTAATTTAAGAATGAAGTGAAAGCAGCAGTTGTCTTTAGATCCTACAAGTTCAGTTGGTTTCCATTTGGTGTCAACAGGTAGAGATAAATGGTTCCATAAATTGGAGGAGAGCATTTTGTCTTTGACACTGTGCTCTTTGGGGAAGTTGGTTTTTTGTATTTTAAGTCGTGCTGTTTCCTTATACTCCTTTTCTTCCTATCTCCTTTTTGATATAAGAGCATAATATTCTCACTTCTCATGCAATGACTGCTGTCATACTGCATATGGGAAGCTGAAATGCTTTTGTGATTAATGACTTGTCCTCACTTGGGTAGTACAGCTTGAGTTGGAGGTGCTTCTCTGTTCACATGAATCAAGCCAGACTAGCTCGAGTTAAATATTCACAGAATCATAGAATCATTAAGGTTGGGAAAGACTCTTATGATTGAGTCCAGCCATCAGTCCAGCACTGCCAAGTCTACCTCTAAACCATGTCCTTAAGAGCCACATCTACACATCTTTTAAATGCCTCCAGGGATGAGTCAAATCTTGGACAGCCTGTTCAAATGTCTGACAACTCTTTCCATGAAAAAATTTTCCTTAATATCCAGTGTAAACCTTTCCAAGTGCAATTTGAGTCCATTTCTTCTTGTCCTGTCACTTGTTACTTGGGAAAAGAGACCAACCCCCACATCGCTGCAACCTCTTTTCAGGCAGCTGTAATAAGTGATAAGGTTTCCCTTGAGCATCCTTTTTTTATGAGCCACTCCTCATAAGGCTTTTACTCCAGACCATTCACCAGCCTCTTACCATAAAATGGCTGTATGGAGTACCTGTGGTAGTTGAGCACATGTAGCTGTGGGAGCTAATGCTTCTCTGCTGTGAGTTTTGGCAACAGCACTACAGCTTCTCATCGTAACTAGGTAACTTTAGCCAGCAGGCTAAAGTCATAGACTTCAAACTTTTCATCAATGCAAGTTAAAGAAGAGGTGGAAACCTGGCTCTAGTTTGAATTTACAGTGAAAAAGATTAACTAGAACAACAACTTGCTTTTAATGGAACAGAGCAGGTATAATGGCGCACACCAAGTTGCCTTCAGTAATTGGTGTTGAGAAGTTGTTGCCTTTCTTGAAACCAGTTGTGAGTCAGGGTGAGTTTAGCCTCTTTATTGACCTGCTTCATTATGTATTAGCATTGGGGAGAACTTTTATTGAGAGTGCTGCAAATAAAAAAATATTGGTTCTGATACACTGCCAGCTTTTTATGAAATTTGAATTGGGTAACTGTTCTTTAATTGCAGACTGGAAGGCTTCTTAAGTTCATACGTCAAAAACAAAACACAAAAGCCCTTGAGCTTCTAACTTTTAGAAAATATTTTCTAGCTCCGAATATATATGCCCAGATTGGTTCAACTGCTAATGTTAATGCAATGCCCTTTTGTAAAATGGCAACTCTGATCAACTCTCCCTAATAGTGAACTCAACTGAATGCACTCTACTAAGGAAATTGAACACTGCAAGCCTCAACAAGGTGATAACAATAAAAATTTTAAAAGTAAGTGTGCTTGGAAGATGGCTTAAGAACAAAGTTTGAGCAAGCAGTCAATCTTGGGTTTTATTTTTAAATAATTTAGGGATATATTGTCCTCAGTTTATTTTTCTAAAATTCTGAGAACCAAGATGTATGCCAAGCATACATCTCACGGATGCTGTTTGTGCCTGTATTGGAAGAGGTCAGAATACGTATTCTTTCTTCCTCTTATGTGATAGCAAACAGCACAAAGGGTACACGAAACTATTCTGCATTAGCTCATGAAGTTGGCCAAATGCATAGAGGGAACAGGTTGTCTTAGGATTCGTGCTGTATGTGCTGCATAGCTTGTTGGGCAGTGGGAAAGTAGTTTGTCCTCCCTAGATCAGTTTGTACTTGGTTGGCTGGTGCAGGGCAACCCCAGGTTTTACAGCACATGCTGGGCTCGTACAGGCTGGGCTGTCTGGGACATAATGCCACCATGTGCCAAGACTACCAGAACGGGACATGCACGTGCAGGATAAATGGGTTCTTTAGAGGTGCTGGATGGAAGGGGTATTTGCCCGTGAGTGGAACAGTGGTTTTTAACTTGTCCTCTTGCTGCTACTGTACTGGGGGAAAATGAGCTTCTCCTTGTGCTGAGATCCCTCTTGCGCTCCCAGGGTTCGTGGCAAACTGGCCTCCCACTGACTCTCCGCACCAGGTGAACTTTGCATAAACAAAACACCTGGCAACAGTGGCACAGTCATGTGGACAGGTGCAGAAGGGCTTTAAAAGCAATTGACTTAGCTTCTAATCTGCCTTCATAAATAAATTATAGTGGTACTAATACCTATTCTTGTGCTATGAAAGGGGTGTTATTACACCTCTGGGTAAAGTTACACTGTGTAGGCTGCAGTTCATAAATTTGGCTGAGGGAAAGACCCTTCTTTGCATGGAAAGAGGCACCCTGATTCCTGTTCGTTAACTGCAGCAAAAACAAGATGGAAACCGATTCTTCTTATGACTGAGCTACCTTAAAAAAAAAAAAAAACCCAAAAACAAAAACACAAAACACTAAAAATTGGCAGAAATTGAGAACTGCTTCAAGTTGGCTTGGCTGTCATAACACAGTAAAGC